AGGGTGGTCTTTTTAAAGGAGTAACAGATAACCTATGGACAGATTAGACATGCACTATGATAAGCACTAGACATACATTAATGATAATGAGTTAATCCTTATTCTCTTCATCTTATAAATAAAGAAACAGAGGCTATGGAACTTGCCTAAGGTTATATAGGTATTAAGTGGTGGAGCTGTGATTCTAGCTCAGTTCTATAGGACTGTAGAACTCATGCTTTTCATCATAACCAGGCTATGCTAGCTACACTTATCCTGATTTGATATGTATAAGTCATCCAGATCATAACATAACACCTTGTCTCAATGCACTTTTATTTAGAGGAGAAAAAAAAACAACCTTTTTCTTTAGAGATGATCTGAGTATTTCAGTATGTTTGGCAATTATATTTCATGTTGCAAACTAAGTAGGGCCCTTGATTAGTCATTTGTTTTCAAGATTATGCCTACCTGATTGTGTCAAGTGCTTACTGTGTGGACAGCTACGGTCCAGCCCCTGGATTTGTTGTGCTCAAACCAATGCACTCTGTCTTAGAAGTCCTGATTTAAAGAAAAGGCCCCTGGCCTTTCATCTCTTTCTGCCTCTGAACCGTAACGCCTAGATCATCTTGCTATTCTTTTGTGTAGTCGGTGCACAAAGTAGTAGGCATAAATCTAAGTAGCAACCTAAAAACCCCAGGATTAAACATTATGATTGGCCAGACGTCGTGGCTCACACCTGTAATCCTAGCACTCTGGGAGCTGAGGTGGGAGGATAGCTCAAGGTCAGGAGTTCAAAACCAGCCTGAGCAAGAGCAAGACCCCGTCTCTACTATAAATAGAAAGAAATTAATTGGCCAACTAAAAACATATAGAAAAAATTAGTCAGGTATGGTGGCATGTGCCTGTAGTACCAGCTACTCGGGAGGCTGAGTCAGGAGGATTGCTTGAACCCAGGAGTTTGAGGTTGCTGTGAGCTAGGCTGACGCCACGGCACTCTAGCCCAGGCAACAGAGTGAGACTCTATCTCAAAAAAAAAAAAAAATACAAAAAACCATTATGATAGTAAAATGAAATGGAGAAAATTTATTTTCCAGAACTCCAGGAGCTTTCAAGAAGGCAGACAAGACCGCTAGGGGCCCAGCCCACCCCTCCCAGGAAGCTTCCTCTAGTGGGAGATGTCCCTGAGGGGAGAGGGAGGGAGAGGCCGTGGGAAAGCAGAAGGCTGCGGCGTGGAGGTTGTGCAGTCACTGCTCTTGGTAACCCTAAGTAGTAAGCTCAGAAAGAGGCCTGACGTGAACAGATTTGTTGGTGCTCCCTAGGCAAGGGTGGAGCCTTGAGCACAGGCCAGTAGGGTACAGGTATTAGTTTCCTAGGGCTGCTGTAAAAAAGTGCCGAAAACTAGATGGGTTAGAACAACAGAAAGTATTGTCTCACAGCTCTGGAGCCCAGAAGTCTGAAATCAAGGTATTGGTGAGGCCATCTCCCTTTGAAGACCTTAGGGAAGGATCTCTCTGAGCTTCTAGTAACCTCAGGCATTCCTTTGTTTATAGATGGCAGTCATTTCCTTGTGTCTCTTCACTTCATCTGCCCTCTGTGTGTATCTGTTTCTGTGTCCCCATTTCCCCTTTTGTAGGCACCAGTCATAATAGACTAGAGCCCACCATAATAACTTCATCCTAACTTGACTACTACCAAATAATGTCACATGATGAGGCTCTGGGGTCTAGGACTTTAACACACCTTTCTTGGGGGACCCAATTCAATCCTTAGCAGGATGAAACCCAGTTCACAGAAGCAGATATAGCAACAAAGATAGGAGGAACAATGACATTTAAAGGCCAGGAATTCTTGGAAGCATGTTAAAAGACCCTGGGCTCACACCAGGCTGCCACTCTGGGAGTTCAAACCAAGTTTACCTAAATCTCCAAGGGTCAAGGAAGTTTTCATATGAGATCTGAGCTGCAGAAGAACAGGAAGAGGCAGGGACAGTGCCTCCCAGAAAGGAACACCCTCTTTGATGGAGCTGTGAGAATCCTCACCCTGTGGGGTGGATTCTCTGTCCACAGGAAGCCCATCCCACAATGCAGTTTCCAAGTGTTTTTAATACTGATATTAAGCTGTCTTTCCAGCTGCCACCAGGAAACATTCACCTAAAATATAATCTTGCATCGTGTCACAACTACACCATTAAAGTACAGAGTAGGCAAGGGGAAATGTAGCTGATATATTTGTATTTACACAAATAGAAGGGAATCTTGAAAAAAGAGAGTTGAAATATAATTGGTTTTTCCTTGGTACTATCAAAGTTGGGGGGTAGTGATTCTAGATCAACAGTGTCAATTACTTCCAAATGGAAATAGGTTTACTCAGCACCCGAGTGTTCGTTTCCTGCCTGTACTGAACCCGGGAACTCTCAGATGAGCTGCTGGTCTCCCCACATGTGGCTCAGTCCCATCACTTGCCAAAACAATTCTGACTTTGGGCAGGGATCGTTTCCATTGCTCTGGGTTCCCTTCCAACCGCTAAAGGCTTATTATTTAGCTCTCTTAAAGGTTTATCCCAAATATAACACACAAGCTCTGGCTCTGTTGCTGCAAATCTGTATTGGCCACTAGGTTTCCCTGATTTGTAGTTTGTTCATCACAGTTCTCTCATCCTAATTATGGGGTTCTTGCCTACAGTTTTTGAATTTACACGTACAAACGCACAGGCACCTTTGCCCATCCCCTTGTTCAGAAGCCCACTTGGAAGAACCATGCACCTACCTTGGCTTTTATTTTTAAGATCTCATCCAGGTCATCTGTTCAATCCTCTAATCCTGCTGTGAGGTCTGGGATCTAGCCTTGGCCAGGTGATTTCCTTCTTCCCAGTAGTTACAGCCATGTGAGTTCTCAGATGCCTGTGGCCTTGTGCCTAGATTTTAGTGCACATTTGTTTTCTTATCACCTTGCTGGGTTGGCCCAGCTCAGCAAAATTTGTCTGTGAAGGTCTAGATAGCAAGCATTTAGGCTTTGTAGGCCATATGGTCTCTGTCGTAGCACATGAGCAACCACGGACAATGCATAAGTCAATGGGCATCACTATGTTCCAATAAATCTTTATTTTAAAAAAAGCAACAGGCTGGATTTGGCCTAAGGACTGTAGTTTGCTGACCCTCTGGTCTAGCCTGTAACCTGTCTCATTTTCCACTCTCTTACTCTCATCTCCTCCAACTTCATCCCCTTCCCTTTTATTACTGAGAGTAAAGCACCATGCTTTAATATAAAATCCCAAGGTAAGATACTAATAACCACTGCATAAGCCAACAAAAGTTAGTCTGTGTACCTGAGTAACAAGCTTAACAAGTTTCAGTGCTCAAGGGGGCTTCTCAGAAGATGAACACAGATTATAGTGCAAAATGGTTAACCAGATACCATTTAGACAATTTACGCTGTTCCTTCCCTAGGAATTAGAACCTTGCCTTGATTCTTTGACAGATGTGGGTGTTAGTCACCCTTAGTCGCCTTATCCAATGCTATTTCTTCCTTATTCCTTGTGTAGGAACCCTGGCTTGTTCAGCTATGGCGACATGTACTCAAGGAAGACACAGCCCTCCCAAGTGCAGGGAATGAATTTTTGTCTGGAATTTGTATTGCATTATGTCTGGGACTCAGTTCTGGGAAATGGTATCTGGGGGAAGTCTCCTTGGGGCTTCTAGGAAAGAATTTTTCTCTGAGATAGAAAAGAGAAACATGAGAAGAAACGCTGGCACCTCTCTTTTTATTCTTGAGAGTGATATTCCTATTGCTCCCATCTCCGTCTCAGGACCATAAGGGGAGACATGATCAACACTTTAATATTGGCAGAAAGAAATAATAAAAGAGTTTGTTTAATAATGAGGTGCTGCTCCATCCCATCCTCTCTTTGGTGTAGAATATGTATGCCCCATACTAACTTTTGGAAAACCTGAAAGATTCCAAATTCTGAAACACATCTGGAATCAAGGATTCTGAAGAATGGACCTTCGACCTGTATCATAATTGATGTCTTGTGTTGGGTAATAAAATCCTATTTCTAGGGTGAATAGTATCCCACGCTCCAGGAAAGCATCTTTTCCATATATCTACAAAGAAGCCATCCTATATCCAGCACCTCCAGTCTCTGCCTCACTGAGTTCAGTCTACAGATGAAAATAAATCATCAGCTACTACTTGTGAGAATTCAGTGACAGTGTCTCCCTTGGTATACATTGTTTTTATAAAAAACACCCCATAAAAGGATACAGTTAGTCTGACGTCTCTTTCCTCCTTCAAAATACTGTGGTGGAATGCAATGAAGCAACGTAGGACACAGAGATCAATTCTTTCCTGTTGTGATCCTGTGTGCAAATGCACACTAAAATATACCATGATGCTATGTAATTTATCATTTATCACCCAAGCCTCTCATCTCACCAAACTTCCCCATTTTATAATAAAAACCACTCTGTCTGCTTGGCTGATAAAATCTGTTTTAATAAGGCCTATGTACTTTGGGTGGCCCACAACAAACCTCCAAGGGCAGTAAATTGCATCTTGGAAATGCAGGCTTTTGGAAATGTGTCTGCATCAGGACTCCGGGGGATTTAAATGCAGAGGGATTTGCAAGGTTTGCAGTTTTCATTCATTAAGGCAGTGCTGCTGCCAAACTTCTCTTCCTGTTAGTCATGCAGGGAGGCGGGCTCAACACAGCGGGCTAGTCATAAATTACCGTAAGCCTTGGAGCAGCCCGAATGTATAATACCAAGGGAACCATAGATCTTGGTGCAAGTTTTGTGCACGATTTCTGAGAAATCCAAATGTATTGAAAAATCACGTTTCCAGAGGAATGAAAAAAAGGAGCCTATCTTTAAGTTCCACAGGCCAGGAATAAAGTTTGGCCTTTATCTAAACCAGTGTGAGAAACCCAGAATTAGATGACTGTAAATAGTCTACTGTAGGAGAATTCCATAGAAAAATTACTATTATTAAATGGCTCTTTAGTCTTGATCTGTGATTCTTAAACTTTTTTTAAAAAATTCTTTTGAGAATCTTAAGAAAGCTCTGAACCTTCAGACCAGAAATTGTCCACAAATACACACACAATCGCGTATACAATTTCTGGAGGTTTGTTTGTCCTCCAAAGCTCATCCATGTCCACAATCCTCAGGTTGAGAATCTCTGCTCTTCATACTAGAAGCTCCTTGATAGGAACAATTACATCTAATCATTATGTCAAATTATGTCTAATCTGTATAGCATCACTCCTGTTTGCGCCTAATAACCCATGACATACTTAGAAGTTTTAGTTAGTGTTTCCTAATATGAACTTAGAGTAAGAAAGTTCCTTTCTAAAATGTCCAAGGTGTTTATTTGGTTCCAAATGCAAGTCTCTCCTTTAATTAAGTTCTGCAATGTATCATTAAACTTCCTTGATATAGTAAAAAATAATTGAAACAAGTTTTTTGCTCTTTTGCTTCAGAATTGCCCTGAACCAAATTTCTGCTTAGGCAAATTTGAAAATGTGATGGCTGCTTCTGAGAATTGCCCACTAGCTGTCTAACTTCCACTTCATGTGGACTTTCAAAGGTCCTCATCTTTTCTTATATCTTCCCAGAGCTACAGGGCAAGAGTTCCCTGCAGGTATTGACCATTAACACATATGACCATGTGGACCTGAGTCTTCATGCAGTTCTGGTAATAGCTGCCATTGTGGAGTCCTTACTGTGTTAGAACATGTAGGGACATGTATTCTCTTCACTGTAGCTGGCAAGTTAGACGTTTTCTCCTTTCAGATGTTATTTACTTGAAGAAACGAAGGCCAAGAAAGCTAAATACGCTCACGGCCATAAAACTAGTCAGCTACAGAGTCACAGTCTAAACTCAGACTTGTCTGGCTTACAACCCTGCATTTAGCTACCACACTCACCCTGTTCATCTTGGGTTTGCAAATTTGGCCAATAAAGTCAGATTAGAGAAATGGACAGAGAAGAGATCTATTAACCTTCTTCTCATGCCAGGGAAAATTTCCCAGGAGCTCTGTCTGAGGAGCTTCAGGGATTGACAACACATCATATTAGCTGGCGTTCCCATTGAGGTGATTGGAAGGGTACCTGGGTGCACAGCTTTTATTACTGGAGGAGAGCTGAAGATGAACTGGTGAGGAGTATGCAGCATGGCCCGGGAGAAACTGTAAAGCAGGCGGGCGTTGACTTGGGTTCCCTCCCCACCAAGCTTCTCTTTCTTCCTCTCACACCTGGATAGTGCCACTTTTTTCACAGGTGAAAGTACACAGATGTGGAGAGTTGGGTGTTTTCTCACTGACCTGTAAGAAAGTGGCAGCAGCTTGCTGTTCTGGCTTTCATTGCCAGGTGACAAAAGGAGGGACATGTGAGAAAGGACATTGAGGCTGCCAAGTTCAGAATCTGATAAGGGTATGTGTGGTGGGGGTGGGGTATGAAGGAGAGGCACATGCAAGGTAGCTGGAAAGGAATCTCTTTTTCTTTCTCTCTTTCATTTTTGAAACAGGGTCTTGCTCGATCACCCAGGCTGGAGCACAGCAGTGCAATCATAGCTCACTGCAGCCTTAAACTCTTGTGCTCAAGCGATCCAGCCACCTCAGCTTTCAGAGTAGCTGGGACTACAGGTATACGCCACCACCTGTGGCTCATTTTTTAAAAAGATTTTTTTAAAAATTAAAAAAAAAAATTTTTTTTAAATGTTTTGTAGAGAAAGGGTCTCATTATATTGCCCATGCTGGCCTTGAACTCCTGGCTTCAGGTGATCCTCCTGTCTAGAGCTCCCAAAGTGCTAGGATTATGGGTGTGAGCCACCTCGCCTGAACCTTCTTCCTCTTTTCCCAGGACTGATTCAGCCAGGAGGTGTCCCCGAGGACTCCATATCATCTAAGTCTCCCAATTCTGCTCTTTGAGCCTCTAACTGGCCTGTTCCCTGGGAAGCCAAGAGGTTGTGGACAATGACAAAAATCCAGACTGCATAGTGAAGAAGCTGAAGCTGAAGAAGAAACAGATTCTATTTGGTTGTATACTTCCTAGCTAGACCTTAGTAACGGAAACAGATTACTGAGACTACCCTGGAGTTTATACCCTAACAAAAGGGCACTGCAAGAGAGTTAGCTGGCCGGAGCCAAGGTGGGCAGGGTGCAGAGCGGGGTAGGAAAGGAAGGGGAGGAGGATGTCTTGGAACACCCTGCCTGGCAGTGTCTAGGGCAGAAGCACAGGAGCCCAGGGCAAGCCTTTCCTTCACCTCACACCACCCCTGGCGATGAGTCAAAGTCTCTTGGAAACTGACCAAATGGACTTTCCTCCTTGTCAGTAGTGTGGGCCTCTTGGGAGCACTCTCCTTCTGTGCACAGAAGGCTGGGTCCCTGACTGCTGATGGGCAGGGTGGTGTGGACAAAAAGGCCTCAGCAGCAGTACTTGGACAAGGCTGGCTGGTGGGAAAAATACCCTTGCTATAGAGCAAACTACTAAGTTACTTAGTAAATTTCAAATGCTCCAATGGCGTTTGGGCAACATTAAAAAACTTAGCATGGAGAATCTTTCCTGATTGCTACAGAAACCCACTTTTTGACTGAGGTTAAGAAAATCAGTTGGTCTATGCCGTTTCCCAGAGGGGACTGTGAAGCCCCAGGACACTGGACCCTGTTGTTGGCAGTCTCTCCAGACGTGAAAAAAAGTCATAAACTAACTATAATTTTTTTGGACTAGATATACAGCCTTAATATAGAGATTGTCCTACAAAGTCACCAAGCAAGTCAGCGTGGGAGATGAATAATCAAGCCTGGTTGCCTGAGTTCTGGTGTCCTGTTACTTCTCTTTCTGCATGGTGAGCAATGAGCCTTTCTCATCTGCTAGATGAGTATTCTCATCTCTTGGCAGGATCACACTAACCGAACAAACCGAATTTCATATTGAAAGCAAGGCAGGGGAAAAGTCTTGAAAGATAAGAATTTAAAAGTTACCCTTCTCTCCCTTTTCCAAGGGAGAAAAAAGGGAATATTCTAGGATTATTTCTCTTCTCTATCCGTCTACAATCGTCCTTGCATTCCCACTGAAAAACATTTCTCGAACATCTCCTACTGCTCAAGACACTGTACTCAGCCTCACTAAAAGTATAAGCATTGACAAGCCATGGCTGCTTTTCTGGTAGGAGTTCTAGAAGAGGGAACATGTTATAGGAAACAAATAACTATCACACGAGGCCTATTCGGTAAGACAAAGGTAGGGCCTGGGTGGCTCCAACAAGGAGAAATATGCTGTTCCTGGGAAGCATTGAGCACAACATCTTGAAGAAAGCAACGTTAGAAATGGGCCTTGAGAAATGAGTGACATTTAATCCAGGGGAGGGAGATCCAGGGATGGGGCAGCGTGTGCCTAGAGAAGAAGCGGGCTTGAGCAAAGGCCCAGGGACAGAAAGGCCACAGGTCTGACTGAGAAATAGCCAGGTGGCCCGTGTGCCTGAAGTTACGGCCCCAAAGGAACAGCCTGTAATAACCCACTCTTCCAACATCACAGACATAGTTTGTCCCCTATGGCAGATGCCCTAAAAGCGGTGATTGGGAAGAATATAGATTAGGTGGTAATGAACAGTTAACAGAGTTTTGAAGGCCTCACCTACTTTTTTCTTCTTTCTACTATTTGTATTTCCTCCTCCTTGTATTTTCAACTATTGCAGGAACCAGGCTTGGCCTTCCACATCAGTAAGGGATTCACTGTCCACTCGGCTTTGGAAAATATAGCATTGAATGTTTAAAGACATTGGCAGTTTTTTCCTTAATAATAAGTAAAAGACATTTTATGTAACTTTTGCTTTGAAAGTAAACATCATAGTTAACATTTCAGTTTCTCACAATTGCTATGGCTATAGCTATATGTACCCTGATACTAAACAAGACAGGACTTACCAGCTATTCAACAATCCTAAGCAACTAGCATGTCTGGACAAAGAATATTTTGACTACTGTGCATTACAATTATTTTAAAGTTTTTCAATATTAATATGTAATGATATAATTTGGGAGAACTTACACCATTCAATTGTTTTAGAATTTGTACAAGTCACATGGGTCTTTGAACTCTGATGGTTTTTTTTTTTTTTTTTGGCATTATTCTATTCCTAGGTGAAGACTATTTACAAAGACATTATTAAATCTCTTTATTTGGAAGAAGCCACAGCAACAGAAAGGCTAACAAAGTCAAAACCTGGGCATGTAAGATCAGACTTTGGCAAACTTTTATATGGGGGCACCAGGTCCCTGACTGCCACCTGATTGATTGGGGAATAAGAGTGAAAAGCGATAGAGTCAGGAAGGAACACATTAGAAAAACCTCCCAGCTCATAAAAATTTCCACATAGCATTCAAAATTCATTAAAAGTTCTTCCCCTAATATAGTTATCTCTTCGATTTGTTGAACCCATTTGTCATTCAAGCGGTACAAATTACTTTACTCAGACAGCATTTTACTCTCATTTCACAAATTGAGACGAGCTCTGTGGAAGCATTGGCTGTATTGATAAGAGGTTGGTGGTAAGAGGGGAAGGCTTGATTTTTAAGCAAAGGGTGTTTGCCTCTAAGACTTATTATGAGATGGGTTTCTTCTTGTACAAAAGAGCTCTCCTCTGTATACACCAGTACAATTGTATGGTTTTTACGACATTGGGTAGGAGACCGCATCAGGATTCTGGAAGGCTCCTAGGTGCAAGAAGGGAGCTCTGACTGAGGGAATAGTGTAGGCCCTGCGTGGTAGAAGGGTACAGAAGGGGTAGGAGAGGGAGGTGGGGAGATGGAAGCTTGTAGATCCAATATCACTTACTTCACACGCTGCAATATTGCCCAAGGACCGGGTGGTGGGAATCACTCCTTGGCATCGAGAAAAATCTGCAAACTACTTATTCCCCACTTAGTGTCTGAATGGCTAAAGTAAATAGTATAGAGCTGTTTCGAATTTTCTCCCTTACTGTAGTTAATTGGAGGAATCTGGTGGAGAAGATAGTTGCTTCCAAATGAAACAGGCTCTGGTCCCTATCCTGGTCCTGCCACTAACATGTTATATAATGTGGGGTTAAGTCATACGACTTAACCTCCTTCATCACCCTCCTTTCTCCATGTATTACAGAAGAGGCAATAATCCCTGTCTTGCAGGTTTCATGCAAGAACTAAATAAAATAATGCATGTTCAAAAAGCTCAGCAGGATACTTGCAGTCAGTACTCTTTCTTTCTCACAATGCTTTATTCCATTTTGGAATTCTGGAAGGACAGGCTCACAGTACATCGCAGAACATTGGGCCATTCCTGACAAGATCCTCTGGGTCTCCTCAGCAGCAGCCCACACCTCCAGGGCTCTGAAGCTGACTCATTCTCTCAGGGGATCTGGGAGCAGAAGAAGAAATGGACTTTGGTTTACTGCCAACTAGAGCAGAGCCCTTCCAGAGCTCTCCCAAGCCCAAGGCGTTTCCCTGGAACTGGACCAGCCATGAATGGAAGAGGCCTGGCTTCCCTGTGTTTGGCTTGGTTTGGAGTTCTGAAGGAACCCTGCCAGGGTCCTGCCAGACATGAGATACTGTTCCCCTTTTCCTCAAAGCTGTTTATGTTAATTAATCCAGGCATTTTGGAGAAGAAGGTCTTCATGTAGCGGATGTTTCCCACAGATATTCCAGCCTGTAACATATCTTTCAAGCTAAAAATATTTTATGTGTTCTAACCCCTAAAACCTTATAAATTACCATTCAAACTGTAAGCAGCGATGATTTGTACATGTTCCATAACCGAATGTCATTCGAGGTGAAAAAGATCAATAGTTAGCCCAGCAACCATCTAATGCATTATAAAATTAACTCCAGCCTCTCGAATTTGCATGGTTAAAAGCACTTTCAGCAACCATAGGTCTAAAAAGGAAAAATAATCGGGAAGTTACTATATGTCGATGTGTTGATCACTTTTGTGAATGTTTCTCTGGAATGGTCAAATAAAATATCTGTAATGATGTTTTTAGTGGATGTGTCAGTTCCTTTATTTTATGGTAAATATTTTTGCCAAATATAGTTCATCTGACAAAGCATGTGACTATAAACCTTGTTAATGGCACATCTAAGCTTAACCCTACTCCACAAAAAGGAAGATCAATCAATATCTAGGTCTTCATGACAGGGGAATGGAGTTTCTAGGGGAAGAGCAAGGAGGTTAACTTTTTGTTTTTTTTCCTACTGCTTGGAATACCCTTTGGAGGGGAGTGAGCCTTATTTTGCTCTTCAGATTGTCCTTTCAATTTTGTTTTTCTTTTTTTCGCATGTGTCTGATGCAATGAGAAATGAGCCTGAGGTAGCCTGTCAGTTGGAAGGGGCCTCCCGGACCTTTAGAAGTCCTAGGAGGATTCCAGTAGGCCAGCTGTTGTTGCCCTTGTGTAGAAGTGCTCTTACTTGGAACTTGTCTCCTCCTGTTTCTGGAGATACAGGACCCTGGGGACAAGTCCTGAGTTTGGGTGCATAACAGTGATTCTCCAAGTGTGGTCCACAGACCAGCTGCATCATGAAAGAACTTGTAAGAAATGCAAATTCTCCGGCCCCACCCTAGATAGACTGCATCAAAATCTATTGGGTTTATCGTTGAGACTGAGGCAATTTGCTACTTCTCCTGAGTGTCCAGTGCCCTCATGTTGCTACTAGTATTCTCAGACCTCTTTTGAATGTCTGTAAGGACTTTTTTTCACAAGTTAATTTGTTATTAAGCTCTCTATCCCAGCTTGCTGTCACATTTAACTAGTTATTCCGATTGGCTAACTGAATGTATAACAGTTTTGAGCACTGAGTCCAGTGGTGAAGTTTTCTGAGCACTGAATCTATTTGAATTTCTCAGTCTTGTGATTTTCTATCATCTAATATTTATGAGGGACTGAGAAGTCATATGAAGAGTTATCCATACAAATAACTCTTTGCTATAGATGTTAGTGCAGTAGGCTTGTAACTGAGAAAAACCTAGGTTTGATTTCAGGTGCTAGCACTTACTAGGTCAGTGGCCTTGAGCAAGTTGCTTGGTTTTAGTTTTTTCAGCTTGATATAGGAGTAATACTTTAAACTTTCTAAATTAGAGCTAACATACTGAACGCTTAATATTAACCTTTATTGTTGATTTTAGTAAGGTGATAGATCCAAACTTAGATCTGAAGTTGAAAAGTCTTTTCTGTTTGACTTGGAATGAATTGCATATCTTTTTAAAAAATATATAAATTAAATTAAATTTTATTTAGAGATGGGGGTCTCACTATTTTGTCCAGGCTGGACTGGAACTCCTGGGCTCAAAGGATCCTCCTGCTGTAGTCTCCTGAGTAGCTGAGACTACAAGCACATACCACTGTGCCTGGCTCTTGAATCATATATCTTGATATTGCTTTCCTACTTTGGTTTTGTCTTTGCCAATATTAATTTTCTAATATTAATATTATTCTTTAGTCACTAAGCCCATACATTAATAGGGACCTGAAAGTCACTGGATATAAGGGAAAGGCCAGAATGAAATAAAACATTCACCAGAGGTAGCTGACAAAATGTAAGGCTGGATAATTGAGCCAAAAATTTTAACTGTTTTTAATCATGCTTTTAAAGAGAAGGAGTGTTTTCCCTTCATTTCACCCTGCTGTTTGCTTTAGTGGGAGGGGACTGCCTTCCCAAAGGTGAGTGAGGGTGAAGAGCCTCAGCTCTGGCACCTGCAGAGCTGTGAGGCCTGAGGCAAGTTGCTTAACCTCTGAGACTCATTTTCATCATCTATAAAAATAGACTAATACCTAGCTTTCAGCCGTGTTGTAAGGTTACAGATTCAGGTAGCCCCAATCATCTGCCTTAGTGGAGGAGAGTAAGAGATAATCCACAGAGAAGGGATTTCTCTTTGGTTTTGGAGACTCTCATGATTCCTTTTTTTCCTACACATTTATCTTGCTAATTCTTTGTGTAGGTGGAGATGCGAATTTCCCTACATTGAAGGAATTATTCCTCTGTGGTGTAGGAGCTCGCCTATGTAGCAGGAGTTTGCCAAAGAGATGTGCAAGTCTTTTGCAGGTCATCAAAAGTTGATGGTGAAACGTTGATGGATTCAAAGGTCACAGGCTACTGGAAATACCTCCAGTGCTAGTTTCTGGAGCAGCTGGTGTTCCCTCTTTGTGCCAGATGGGCGGTGTGCAGAGAGACGTAGAGCAGACTGAGTGGGAAGCAAATCTGTGCTCAGGGAACAAAGCTGGACTAGGTGGGGCCAGAGAGGACACCACCCCATGGTGAAGGTGGCCAGTTCTCATAAAGCAACACAAAGGACTACTCCAGAGATGCCTTGGGAAAAATAAAAGCACCATTGCACCTCAATGTTCTCATCTGCAAAATAGTGATATAACATATATCTCACATTATTGTCTTAAGGATTAAATGAGCTAGCTGTATGGAGCCAGCCCATAATAGATTACTTTATGAGGGAGTCTCTTTAAATCCTTTTTGGCCTTAAATACTTTCCATGACTCTATATCTCTATAGTCTCTCCCAGAAAAGCAATGTTTTCAGTCTGTAAAGTATAAAAATAGATTATTTCCACCTGATAAGTTGCACCATGACCTGCCAAAAAGAAAATATCATTTCTGGAGGAGAGCTAGCTAATTCTTTCCTTTCCTTCCCATCCTGGGATACAGCTGGAGCCTGGTCTTGTCTTTCTTTCTATGGTAAGAGAGGTGCTGCTTGTTCAAACACGAACTCAGAGAAGCTCCTAAGGGTTTCAGGCCCTCAGTCTGCTCAAGTGTGGAAACTCACCAGTTCAAAGGAAGGGTAGGACCTCCGTAAGCATCCTCACACCTATTTTTTGTCTCAAATTCTAAGTTACTTTGTCTCTTTTTCTTAAGAATCCTATTGAAGAAAACTTGTATTTGTGCTATTTTTTTGTTCTTAAAATATGGCAAACCAATGCTATTTTTCTGGATGGTTCTTTTATCCAATCCCCATATTAAGTGGGTGCCATGTTAACTTGTTTATTCATAATTTTTTTGTCCTTTCATGCAAAATTGAGACTGTGATGAAACGGTAGCATGGTGATATGGAAATTATGCATGCTTTTGAGCGCAACAGGTATCAGTTCGATAGACTCAATAGAGTCTGTTGAATGCTAGCTGTGTAACTTCAGACAAATCACTTAACCTCTCTGGGCTACAATGTCTTTATCTAGAAAAGTGTAATAATGATGCCTATTTCATAGGATTACTGTGTAGGTTAAAGATAACATATTAAAAGGCTGCACAAATAAGCAGGTAACAAAGTATAGCTATGATTGATTTTTAACGTTAGAAACTGTAACATTTGTCTGAAGGTTTAACAAAAGTTATGCTCTTCATAGCTGCCCTCTGGGGCACTACTGTTCTGTGGATGAGGAAATTGAGGCTCAGCGAAGTTAAGTAACATGCTCAAAGACATACAACTAGAAAATGGAAAAACCAGGTTTCAGCCCAGATTTTTTGATGCTAAATTTTGGGCATTTTCTACTACATATCACCTGCCCTTTTATGATGAAAATTTAATTCCATGTAGTATCATGGGACTAAAACTTGTGAATGCCAAAAACGCACATTTCTCCTGTTCCCCTTTAAAGCACTGATTGCTTTCTGCCTCTGAGTATAATCACTTATGTACATGTAATAATTTTTCTGTTAGCCTATGACAAAAAAACACAAAAGCAGAGCATGACTTTGGGCATTCTTTTTTTTTTTATTTTGGCATATTATGGGGGTACAGATTTTGAGGTTTCAATAAATGCCCATTCCCCCTGCCCCCCACAAGTCTGAGTCTCCAGCATGACCATCCCCCAGATGGTGCACATCTCACTCATTATATATGTATATACCCGCCCCCCTCCCCCCTCTCACCTGTGGGCATTCTTATATTCTCTGTAGTATCAGCACTGGACCTCGGAGTCAGTGGGTATGCAGAATATGAATATAGAGCTAAATGGTACAGGTTTACACCCAGCTTTGTGTGACAGTTACAGAAGCATGGCATTCCACTCCTCCCTTGTGTCTCCCTGAGTTCATGTTTTTTGTTTTTTTTCTCACTGTTGCCCAGGCTGAGTGGTACAGTGGCACAATCATAGCTTACCTAGCTTGCCGTAGCCTGTAATTCCTGGGCTCAAGTGATCCTCCTGCCTCAGCCTCCCAAAGTGCTGGGATTAAAGGTGTGAGCCACTGCACCCGGCCCTAGAGTTCAAATTTTAAAAATAAATTATTACACCTGTCTCTCTTCCCAAAATGCTTGAGGTGGTTCATTGCTCAAATGACTCTGTACCTGCCTTCACTGACTCATTTGGAGGGATCAACAAGTTCACATGATGATGTGAATAAAAAAAAGGGATGGGATAGGCATTTTATAATTTATCAAGAGACAAGTACTGACATATCAAAAAATTTGTATGCAGAGGAGATACTCTGTTTAAATAAATCAATTCACAAAAAGTGTATGTTGCAACCATTTCCGAGAACTGCTCTGTGAAAATTAATGTAGTTAAGGGACTTACCAGGTAACAAAATCTAAAGTAGTTCATCCTGTGGGCTCCTTGTCCCACCCCATTCTGCGCCACCAGCAGCCCTTCACTTAGCACAAGCTTTAAGCTATACATGATTCTGCATGTATAATCACCAAGGTTGTTCTGGTCCATTTCATGCTACACAGACTTGCCCCCTGTGAGAGAGAAGTTAGGCCGAGAATTCATTTAAGTGACCTCCGGGAGACTAGTCCCAATCAAATATACTCAACACAGTCAACCATTCAGTGGAGTATGAAGGAAAATTTGTACACTCACAACGAAGTCCTAGTGGATGTGTTTTCACAACTAATAAACCTCAGGAATAAATGAGGGACTCAGGGGTGGTCTGAGAGATGCCCTTCCACTAAGGTAGGGCGCATTGGTAGTATGGGTCACATGCTTGGGACTCCGGAGTTGTCATTTTATTCTTCCAGTTTTGCCACTGCCTTTTGGCTGGGTGTTGTGGTATAATTCCATTGACTGCTTTGCGCCTTGGTGTGCACATTTAGAACAGTGTCTCTCAACTGGGGGTAATTTTGCCCCCATCCCACCCCCCCCTGTAGGATACTAGCAATGTCTGGGGACATTTTTGTTTGTCATAACAAAGGAGGAAGGTTGGGGAGGAGGTGATGCATCTAGTGAGTAGAGTTCAGGGATGCTGGGAAACACCCTACATGGCACAGGACAGCCCCCAAAACAAAGAATGGGACTCAAAATGTCAACAGTGCAGAGGTTAGGAAGAAGCCCCAATATCAAGAGACAGTGGTAATACACTGAACCTAATCCCTGCAACCGAATGTCAGATAATTTTACTTTTGTAGACTACTTTGAGGTCTTTGGCTAAAAGTTGCTGTGTAAGTCTGAAAAAAAAAAAAAGTCATGTTGCTACAAGTCCCCAGGTCTCAGTGAATCTTGCTGACAGAGTCTGACTCAGCGCCTTCCCACGTTTTTAAAGGGTTGTCTTTGCTCTCATTGGGGTTTGTCTTTTTTAATAGCTTGTTTTCCTTTCTAAAGTGTTTTGAATTTTAAAAGTTTTGGTCCAAACCACCTAATTATCTAAGTCATTCCTGGCATATTATTAAGATTCTTAAATAAAACTTTTAGACCGGTCTTGCTTCTGGACTAAAGGGTACTCATTTTCCTGAGGACAAGGAATCAGGTGAGACTCTAACAGGGATTCCATGGCTGGCCCATCTGACAGCTCGCTGACGTGAAAAAGTTAAGTTGTTAGGAGCAAACTGAGTTTTTCATTTACCCTTCTTTTCCTTTGGCTCCTGGAAAATTCTCCTCAGCCCCTTGAGATCACACAGAAAATGACAAAGAAGGGAAAAACAATTTCTAAAGTAGACACTCTCAAGAATCATATTTATTTTTTCTGGAACCATCTAGGAAAAAAATAACAACCACACAGACAAGACAATTTTAAATCAAGCCTGTTTCTGATTTAAGTCATTTCCTTTCTGCTAGCCTGTCAAAATTCAATAGCATTGTATTTAGTTGGTCCAAAAACCAGATTGGTGTAAACTGTATTTTAGAAACTCTTTCGACTTTGGTAGACCCTAGAATATATCAAATGTGTTAGACATTTGGGAGGCTAGGAGAATGGAGAAATGGAGTTTATTTTCATGGAAAGTCAGTTGTGTATTTTAGGTGAGTATTTTCCCTATGAAAAGATGATTTGCCTATGGCCAAAGATTAGGAAAAGAAAAATTAAATCACTGGAGATCAGGCAAAGAAATAGAATTTCTATCTACGAAAATTTATTTTGGCTTAGAAACCTCTACCTCATTATCCACAGAAGAGCATTCTGCCAGCCCTGTTAATAATATTTCATATTAGTTCCATGGATTCCTTTAGTGGGTAGTAAAAGTCATAAAAAATATCAGAAGCTCACTGGAAGGACCTGGAGGAATATCTAAGGAGGCTGCTCTGAGAGTCAGGAAGCAAGAGCTAGAGAAACCGGCTACCCACAGTCACTGAGAATGGCAACACTGCTCTCAGCCTTACCTTTGATGTCCCTGGGATAGACATATCTCTAGAATTTTCCTCCTTCCACTGTTTGAAGGGAATTATGTGAATACAATTGGCTCACAGTGATGACATTAGCATTATGAATAATGCTTGGGGGCTATACCTAAAATGCTGAGAACTGACTGTTGGGTTCCCAGAACATTTGACATCATGATGTCTGGGATGCCAGGTCAGCACAGTGACTGTCAAAGGAAGTGCAGGCAGCAGAAATTCATTGGAAATAGATGTTAGAAACTAGATATTTAGACAGAGTGTTGCAATAGCGTCTTCATTTTGTTTGCATTGTGGTGTGGTGGTGTTTACTTTGCCATAATTTTGTTATTCTTTATTCATAGAATTATATAGCTTGAAGAAGTATTCTTTTGCTGCTACTTAAATGTGATCTTTCTCTTGACTTCTTATGGTTCCTATAATCAATCATGGCAGAAATCTATGACTTATCAAGAAACCAACAGCCACATCTGTGTTCTGGTTTAGATTTTTCTCTTTCATAGGGGTTAAATGGAAGACTGAAATTAAGTTAAAGAAAAATGTAACGATCTGATTAGTAGAAATTTAAAGTAAGAATGAGATTTCTCTTGCAGTTTAGAGGTGCAAATAGGGAGATTTAGCTCTTGTAGGAGAAATATGAACAGATGGGATTCAGGAGTGTCTATCTAAAGTGGGGGAAGAAAGCCATTAAAGCTGGGATTTTTAAAAAAATGATACTTTAAAAATTTCCCCTATCAAATCAGGAGGCAAGGTTGTATAGAGCAGAGTTTGGCAAACTTTATCTTAAAAGGCCAAATAGTAAATATTGTAGCCTTGTGGGAACATATGGTCTCTGTAGAAACTACTCAAATCTGCTCTTGTAGTATGAAAGCAGCCATAGACAGTGTGAATGGGTGTGGCTGTATTCCAATAAAACTTTATGTATGGACACTGAAATTTGAATTTCATGTGGTTTGCACATGTCACAAAATAGTTTCTTCTTCTGACTTTTTTCAGCCACTTAAAAATGTGAGAACAAGCTGGGTATGGTGGCTCACTCCTGTAATCCCAGTACTTTGGGAGGCCAAGGTGGGAAGATTTCTTGAAGCCAGGAGTTCAAGACTACCCTGGGCAATGTAGTGAGACACCTGCCACACACATAAAACAAATAAAACAACAACAACAAACCCACAAGATAATAAAAACTATTGTTATTAACTACACGTACCAAATTTCTGAGTCACCCACATATGCAGTAGAACGTGTCATTATGCGTTTCTTTGACTGGCAATTTAAAATCAGGTTTTCTCAGGTCTGCCATCTGTCAGTTTTATTTCACAAGGCTTTTCTTTTCTTTATCCAAATGTATTTCTGTAGTCTCCTGCTAGAGTCTACAGATCCAGACTTAAAATGAACTCAGGACTATATATCCTTTCCCACATGAACAGATAAATGGACATTCAAAACATGTTTTTAACAAACGTTCTTACACTGCTCCAGGGAGGAGCATGTCTAGTTCAAATTGCAGTTTATACCTGGAGCTGCTGCATTCCTGCATTGCTGTCAGGACAAGAATCTCAGGTGTCATCTCAGGGGCTTGTAAGTCTGACAGAGCAAGAGATAATCATGAGAATAGTGTTTGTGTGGCTTAGATCATGTAAATGAGCATTTAGAGAAAATTTATTCAGAATAAGCCTTCACATCTAATTCTTTAAGGTATAAGCATTTTTCCAGCCTTATAATTTTTGAAAATATTAATAGCATCCCAAGAGATCTTCCAGCCTCAAAAATCTGTATTTACCTGAACCCAGATGCTTAGTTGACTTCCCATTTGAAAAAAATACCTCTATTTCTCCATCACTTATTCTGACGATACAAAATAAAATTCTGAAGAAAAGTATGATCAATGGGACCAAAACTAGGGTGAGGTAAGTGAGGCACTCACCTTGCATGCAAAATTTAAGGGGCACCAAAAAACTCAGTAATCAAGATAAATAGTATTTTAATGGAATATTTTTAGAAATCAAAATTAATGCAAAAACATCCATAATGAACAAAATTTCAAAATTGTAAATAAAGATAGGGTCAGTAACAGTGCTAGTCAAGGCAAATTGGAGCCTAAGGCAAAAGGAAAATTCAGTAATACTGATCAAAGATATCTTACTTAGACTCCTTCCTAACTGTTTCTCCCTTGGAGCCCATGCTTACAATTATTACTGTAATTAAGAACATTGGGTTAGAAATTGAGTTGGTTCGATTGTACTGTTTCCCCCTCTTCATTGCTTGCTTTCTTTTCACATTTTTCTTTGTTCTCTCCTTTTTTTTTTCTGTTATAACTTACATTTCTTTTTGCTAACTCTCTTTCTGCACATCAGCTTTGACCCATTTATGCCGTCTCACAGTTTGCAAGGAAAACGATCAAAGAGCTCTTTTATTTATGATAACTGAGTGGTTTCCTATAAGTCAATACTAACTCTGAGGCTTAAATGCCTTTAGTTGATGTTGGTTTATGTCCTCTTGGCTTGACGCCGACATAGTGACCTCTTCAACAATTCTCATGATTCCCTGAGCTATGGAAGTCTCCAGTCTGGGAAATATCGCTCTACAAGAAAGCTGATGAACCACACAGTAAGGTCTAGGGATTTCCCTTTAATCCGTCAGTGGCAATCTTAGCGTTAGTGCTCGTGAGTGCAGTGGGCCACTCCTCTGTGACTCCTGACAGTTACCAGCACATTCTTTAGAGAGGAGGGTTTGAAAACCAAATGTTTGAAGTAAGCACCATTGGGATCTGCAGGGCTGTTAACGTGGTAGCATCTGGCATTTATAATCTGATCAAAAGCTCCCTTCTTCTTTCTTAATCTTTATCCCAGATGGGAGTATGGCTCAGTACCAAGAAAGTTTTCAGTTTTTTTTCCCAGGGAAAGCTAAGCCAGAAGCACAGGATGCCACAGGGAAGCAACCATGGGAACACGAGTCAGAGCTTTCATACATCTCGGGCAGCATCCAGAGCATCATGGGGACATGATTCTCATGAGCAATTTTTAAATACGAGGAATTATGTTAATGGTGATTAGATCCAACTTTGTGGTTCTATAGTAGATAATCAGGCAGAATTATGATTTGGAAGAATTTCTACTATTATCTGGTGTTGAAAAAAGGGGCTTGGCTCCTTTGATGCCAGAGAGTGCATCTATGTTATAGTTCCTTTAGTTCAGAAGTTTAAGCTCTAAAACAGTAAAACAAACATGTCACATGTTTATTCACATATTGTCCAAACACACACCAAGTGCTTTTTGTGGTTGGTTTGAAGTTTTGATTTTGGTTTTCTGTATTTATTTATTTTTCTCTTAAGAGACAATGTGAATATCCTGGGCTGGGATAGGTTTGGAGTTGGGGGAGGTGGCTGTTTCCAGATGATGGGAGAAACTAAAGTTAGTTCTTCCAGGCTTGGAAAGCTTCCTGCATTAAGTAGAATTAGAAATGAGCTTGAACAAGATAAAAAAGACAGTTCTCTGTGGAGATGAGATGAAGACTTCTTCAGGCAGATGGGAACTGTGGCTTGTTAAGATAAATCCAAGGTAAGTATAGAGCAGTGGTTCTCACACTTGAGTGTGTGGTGGAATCACCCTGAGGGCTTGTGAAAACAAGTTGCAGCGCTCACCCCTGGACTTTTTGATTCAGTAGGTCAAGGGGATGCTTGAACATTTGTGTTTTAAAGAAGATCCCAGGTGATGTTGATGCTGCCAGTATAGAGATTGTGCTTTGAGAAACACTGGTGTTTTTTTTTTTTCTAAGATTTTAATGAAAAGTTTTGAACATATAGAAAAGTTGTAAGACTTTATTGTGAACATATATTTAAATTCACCACCTAGATTCTAATTCTTTTTTTTTGTTGTTGCAGTAAGATCATTTAACCAATTTTTAAGTGTTCAGGACAGTATTATTAACTATAGGCATGATGTCTGAAAGATCTATAGAACTTATTTACCTTACATAACTGAAACTTTATATCTGTTAAATAAGTAACTCTCGATTTCTATCTTCCCTGACCCCTGACAACCATCATTCTACTCTCTGCTTCTATAAATTTCACTATTTTAGATAGCCCATATAAATGGAATCATGCAGTGTTTGTCCTTCTGTGACTGGCCTATTTCACTCAGGACAATGTCCTCACAGTTCATCCATGTTGTTGATTATTGCGGAATTTCCTTTTTCTTTTTAAAGGTGGAATAATACTCTATTGTATGTATATATCACATTTTCTTTATCCATTCATTTGCTGAGGGACATTTAGGCTGTTTCTACACTTGGTTATTATGAATAAAGATGCAATGAGCCATGAGATGCAATGAGCCATAGGAGTGCAAACATCTTTTCAAGATCCTAATTTCATTTCTTTTGGATAAATATCCAGGAGTGGGATTACTGGATTATGTGGTAGTTCTATTGTTAATATTTTGAGGACCCTCTATATTGTTTTCCATAGCAGCTGCACCATATTACATTCCCACCAACAATGTACAGAAGTTCCAGTTTCCTCATATTTTTACCAACACTTGCTATCTTTTGGGGGTTTTTTTTGATAATAGCCATCCTAACAGGTATAAGATGACATCTCATTGTGGTTTTGATTTGCATTTCCCTGATGATTACTGATTTTGAGAATCTTTTCATTTATCTTTTAGCCATTTGCATGTCTTCTTTAGAGAAATTCCTATTCAAGTCTTGGCCTATTTTTTAATAGGGTTATTTCTGTGTGTGTGTTTTGCGATTGAGTTGTAGGACTTCTTAATATATTTTAGATCTTAAACCCTTATCAGATGTATGGTTTGTGAATACTGTATTTTCTCCCATTCTGTGGTTTACCTTTTCACTCTGTTAATTGTGTTCTTTGCTATAGAGAAGGTTTTTAGTTTGATGCAATTCCATTTGTCTATTTTTTGCCTTTGTTGCCTGACTTTTGAGTTCATAGTCAAGAAATCATTGCCAAGACCAACTTCATAGAGGTGTACTTCTTCATACAGGTAAACATACTTCTATGTTTTCTTCTATGACTTTTATAGTTTCAAGTCTTATATTTAAGTCTTTAATCCATGTTGAATTGATTTTTGTGTATTGTATAAGAAAATGATCTAATTTCATTCTTTTGTATGTAGTTATCCAGTTTTCCCAGCATCATTTGTTGAAGAGACTATCCTTTTCCCATTTTGTGTTCTTGGCACCCTTATAAAAGATCAGGTGACTGTACATGTGTGGGTTTATTTCTGGGTTCTCTATTCTGTTTTGTTATTCTCTATGTCTGTCTTTTGTCCTTTTTTTTCTTTCTTTTTGAAACAGGGTCTCATTCTATTGCCCCAGCTAGAATATAGGGGTGTCATCTTAGCTCACTGCAACCTCAAACTCCTGGGCTGAAAGGATCCTCCTGCCTCAGCCTCCTGAGTATCTGGCACTACAGGTGTGGGCCACCATGCCTGACTAATTTTTCTATTTTTTGTACAGACGGGGTCTCACTCTTGCTCAGGCTAGTATATGTCTGTCTTTATGCCAGTATCATAACATTTTAATTACTATAGCTTTGTATTATATTTTGAAATCAGGAAGTATTAGGTCTCCAGCTTTGTTTTTGTTTGTCAGGATTATTTTTGGCTTTTCAGGGTCTTTCGTAATTTCATATGATTTTTAAAATTGGTTTTTCTATTTTCATAAAAAATGCTATTGGGATTTACAAAGAAGAACATGTACCTGTCTTGTAGAAATTATTCCATAATATTGAGAAGGAAGGAATCCTCCCCAACATGTTTTACAAAGCTAATATCATCTTGCTACCAAAGCCAGGAAAGGACGCAACAGAAAAAGAAAACTACAGACCAATATCCCTTACGAATATAGATGAAAAAATTCTCAATAAAATCCTAGCAAAGCAAATTCAGCTGCACATCAAAAAAATAATCTGCCATGACCAAGTAGGCTTCACCTCAGAGATGCAAGGATGATTCAACATACACAAATCTATAAATGTAATTCACCACATAAATAGAAGTAAAAACAAAGAGCATATGATCCCCATTTGATAAGAACACTTAACAAAATAGGCATAGACAGGACCTACCTCAAAATGATAAAAGCCATATACAACAAACCCACCAACAACATCATACTGAATGGGGAAAAATTGAAAATATTTCCCCTTAGAACTGGAACCAGATGAGCTTGCCCACTGTCACTACTTCTATTTAACATAGTGCTGGAAGTCCTAGCCAGCACAATCAAACAAGAGAAGGGAATCGAGGGTATCCAAATGGGGGCAGAAGAGGTCTTATTATTGCTCTTTGCTGACACTATGATCTTATATTTAGAAAACCCCAAAGATTCTGCCAAAAGACTCCTGGAATTGATAACATATTCAGTAAAGTCTCAGGTTACAAAAACAAAGTACACAAATCAGTAGCATTCATATACACCAATAACAGTTAAGCTGAGAACCAAATCAAAGACTCAATACCTTTCACAATAGCAACAAAGACAATAAAAATATCTAGGAACATATTTAACTAAGGAAGTGAAAGACCTCTACAGGGAGAACTACAAAATGCTGAGGCAGGAAATAGCAGAGGACATAAACAGAAGAAAAAATATATGATGCTGATGGATGGGCAAAGCCAATATTGTTTAAATGTCTACACTACCCAAAGTGACCTACATATTCAATGTAGTCCCCTTTAACACACTGACTGCCATATGGGTTGTATTTAACTCACACCAGTTTTGAGCCCGGGGCCTTGTGAAGCATATGTAACTCACACGTCTCTTTACCTTGGGAGCTGTGTGAATATTTTTCAAGTTGCATATAACTTACACACAAAAAATAATAAAAAATAACAAACTTTTCATTAAATTAGAAAGGATCATTTTATTTTTGAAGTTTTTATTCTGTTTCATAATAAAATACCATGGTCCCAAGGAAAAAGTTTTTGTCCTAGTGTGGCAGTCACTGTGTTAAAATACCAATATCATTTTTTGTAGATCTAGAAAAAATAATTCTATTATTTGTATGGAACCAGAAAAGATCCCATATAACCAAAACAACCTTAAGAAAAAATAACAAATCAGGAACCATCAATTTATCAGACTTCAAGCTCTTTTACAAGGCTATAGTAACCAAAACAGCATGGTAATAGTATAAGAATAGAGACATAAACCAATGGATCAGAACAGAGAAACCAGATATAAAGAGAAACCAGATATAAAACCATCCACATCTCATCTTTGAAAAAGCAGACAAAAACATACACTGGGGAAAAAATTCCCTATGCAATAAATGGTACTGGAATAATTGGATAGCCACATGCAGAAGAATGAAACAAGATCTGGACCTACCACCACTCACAAAAATTAACTTATTATGGATAACAGACTTAAATCTAAGGCATGAAGCTATAAGAATTCCAGAAGAATAGGTTGGAAAAGCTCTTCTAGATATTGGCCCAGGGAAATAATTTATGAATTTACGAAGAAGACCCTGAGGGTAATCACAGCAACAACAAAAATAAATAAATGGGACTTGATCAAATTAAAAGTTTCTGCACAGCCAAGGATACAGCATTAAAGTGAATAGACAAACTACAGCATGGGTGAAAATACTTGCATGCTATCTATCCAATAAAAGGCTGATAACAAGAATTTACAAGGAACTCAAGCAAATTAGCAAGAAAAAAATCAAACAATCCCATTAAAAAGTGGGCAAAAGACATGAACAGAAACTTTTCAAAAGAAAATAAACCAATGGCCAACAAACATATGAATCAATGTCCCCAACTATCAGGGAAATGCAAATCAAAACCACAATGAAATATCACTTAAATCCACTGAGAATGGCTTTTATCAAAAGGTCCCAAAATAACAAATGCTGGTGTGCATATGGAGAGATAGGAACACTCATACACTGTTGGTGGGACTGCAAACTAGTATAACCTCTATGGAAAATAATATGGAGGTACTTCAAAGAACTAAAAATAGAACTAGCATTTGATCCAGCAATACCACTGCTGGGTATTTACATAAAGGAAAAAAATACTTTTTATAAAAAAGACACATGAGCTGGAATGTTTATAGTAGCGCAATATATAATTGCAAAGATTGTGGAAACAACCCAATTGGCCATCAATACATGAGTGGATTAATAAAATGTGGTATATATACTTAATGCAGTACTACTCAGCCATAAAAAAAAAAAACAACTGGTGAACTAATACTTTTGTATTAACCTGATGGAACTGGCGACCATTCTTCTAAGTGAAATATCACAAGAACGGAAAAACAGCATGTGTACTCACCATTAAATTGGAACTAATCATTCAACACTCATGTGCACATATGGAAATAATACTCATCAAAGATCAAGCAGGTGGGAGTGGGGAGGAGTTGATGGGGAAATTCACATATAATGGATACAATGCACACTATCTGGTTGATGGGCAAGCTTATAACTTTGACTCAAATGCTACAACAGCAATTTACGCAACCAAAACATTTGCACCCCTATAATATTCTGAAATAAAATTTTAAAAATTGCTCTTGGAATTTTTTTAGGGATTGCATTGAATCTATGGATCATTTTGGGTAATATGGACCTTTTAATAATATTGAGACTCCCTGTACACAGGATGTCTTTTCATTTATTTTTATTTTCTTTAGTTCCTTTCATTAACGTTTTATGCTTTCAGTGTATATCTTTCACCTTTTTTGTTAAGTTTATTCCTAAATATTTTATTCTTTTTGATGCTATTATAAATGGAATTGTTTTCTTAATTTCCTTTCTGGATGGCTCGTTGTTAGTGTATAGAAACACAGCTGATTTTTGCAGGTTGATTTTGCATACTGCACCTTTAGCAAATTCTTTTATTGCTTACTTTTAATGTGTTTGTCATTTGCCCAATTTTCTCTTGTGTTCTTCCCTCTTATTTATTAATTACATGATGTTTTTATGTATTTCAAATAGTAGTCTTCTGTGCTTTTATGCATTGAAATATCTCTTCACAATTTTTGGTTTGCCTTTTCGCTCTTTTTCATGATGGCTTTTGAGGAATTCTTAATTTTAATTAAACTGGATTTATCAACTTTTCCTTTAAAATTGTCAATGAAGAAAAACCCTTTAAAAAATCTTTCATTGTTTTCAAGGTCATGGAGGTACTCTCCTTTGTTATATTCTTAAAGCTTTGTTTTTTCACCTTTCACATTTAGATCTTTACTCAGTGGTGCATTGAACTGTATAATTACTTTGTACTGAACTGCAATACCAACTCAGTCATTTATCAAATGGGTGTATGTTCATAGATCTTCATTCTCCTCCATAGCCTGTTTGTCTATTTATGTGCCAAAACCACATTATGTTAATTACAATAACTCTACAATAAATTTGACAACTGGTAGGGCAGGTTCTTACCTTTTTCTTTCTCAAGAATGTCTTGGCTCTTATTGACCCCTTGCACTTTCATTATGTCTTAGAAATGCATTGTCAAGATCCATAAAAGCATTTTGGAATTTTTATTTGCATTGTACTACATCTCTAGATCATTTTGAGAATTAGCACTTTTACAATACAAAGTTCTCTAATCTAGGAACATTATATATTAATAGATGTCCATTAATTTAGGTCTTCTTTATATGTTTCAAAATACTTTATGATTTTCTCCCTCAAAGTTTTCACATCTTTTGTTAGATTTATCTAAGGTACATATTATATTACTGAAAATGGCATTTAAAAATTTTTTTTATTTATTTGTCACTTGTCTATAAAAATGCAACTCATTTTTGAATGTTAACTTTACATCCAGCTATGTTGCTAAACTCTTATTAATTTAGTAATTTACCCATAGGTTCATTTGTATTTTCTATGTATACAGCCATGCGATTTGAAATAATGATAGTTTTTTTTGTTTGTTTCTCTCCTTGGAATCCTATACTTTTATTTTTCTTTTTATATTATAACACTGACTAGAATTGTCAGGATAATGTTGAATAGAAGTGGTGATAATGGGAATCCTTGTTTCAATTCTAATCTCAAAGAAAGTATTTTCAACATTTCGCTGTTGAATATGTTAAGCAGCTTACCTTCTGATCATCTTTCTGAGTTCTCCTTTGTCACTCATGCCTTTCCCGGAGTTTATAGTCGAGAAGAAAAAATGTATCTATGCCATTTTTTCCCAGATTGGATATATCTATGTGTTCATGTCTTCTGTTGTGTTTCTTTGAGAGGTTGGGCTGGGAATGAAGACATAAAGCTATTTGATGCAGCAGGCACACATTAGTTGAAATAATGGAAGAGGTTGGGCATGGTGGCTCATGCCTATAATCCTAGCACTCTGGGAGGTCAAGGTGGGAGGATTGCTTAAGCCCAGGAGTTTGAGACCAGTCTGAGCAACATAGTGAGACCTGTCTCTAAATAAATAAATAAATAAAATTAGCTGGGCATGGTGGTGCATGCCTGTAGTCCTAGCTACTTGGGAGGCTGAGGCAGGAGGAGTGGCTTGAGACCAGAAGTTTGAGGTTGAAGTTAGCTATGATGATTCCATTATACTCCAGCCCAGGCAACAGCTCAAGACCCTGTTTTCTCCCCCCATGCCCCCTAAGAAAGAAATAATGGAAGAATTGCTTTTCATTGGCTTAGAATTTGATAATTTACTTCTTATAATTTATTACTTGAAGATTGCCACTTCATTTGTCTCAAAACATTATTTTTCTCAGCAACCCCTTTGGCCCTTTCACAGGTTGTTACTATTGGAAGAGCATTTTTTCTGCTCATAATATGCCAGAAGACCAGGATGTGCTGAACAGTGAGAATTAACTTTTTCCTATTTTGTCCTTCTTCACCTTCACCTACAACTTACTGAAGCTGCAGATAAAGTTTCTAAGAAGCAACAGCAATCTCAGTATTTACTGGATTTAACAATTCCCAAACTATAAAGTAACTCCAGATATCATAGTTGTAAATTCACATATATGTAATAAGTCAGTAATCACCAGCTGAATGAATGAATCAATTACCATTTATACTTTTATGTGACTAGTATACCTGAATACCTGTCTTAGTCCATTTGTGTTGCTATAGAGGAATACCTGAGGCTGGCAATTTATAAAGGAAGTTTTATTTGGGTTGTGATTCTGCTGGCTGGAAGTCTAGGCATCTGGTGAAAGCCTCAGGCTGCTTCCACTCTTGGTGGAAGGCAAAGGGGAGCCAGTGTGTGCAGAGATCATGTGGTGAGAGAGGACTCACCAGAGAGATGAGGAGGTGTCAGGCTCTTTTTAACAACCAGCTGTCTCTCCAACCCCAGGGAGGGGATTAATCTATTCATGAGGAATCCACCCCCATAACCCAATGTCTCCAATTAGGCCCCACCTCCATAATTGGGGATCAAATTTCAACATAAGGTTTTGGGGGACAAACATCTAAACTATAGCACCCCCTTTCCTCAAGCTTAGACAATATTTTATTCATAATTCACTTGAATGTGTGTTGAAACTAGGTTGTGTGCTCTGCCTTTGTGTTCCCATAGTTTCTTGTACTCCCCTCCATGCAAGGAACATAGATGCATAGGTCCAGTTTGTTGAACTCCTCATGAATGATGAAGCTCACATAGGTGTTAGAATAAGCAGGCAATTGACTTTAGGAATATGTAGAAAGTCATTCATTAAAAGCAACAGTCAGCAAAGCTGGGGAGTTGGAGGAAGCTGGAGTTTCCTCCACTCCACCCAAAGCCTCACATGATTCTTATCAAAGACTAGTAACTGACACCTAAACTTACTCAGCTTCTCAAGAATTCATATTCAACCTCAAACAGAATGGTACAAAGGCATCACACTTCATTTTAGTTGTGGAATCCTGCCCTTGAGGCGCTCAGTGCAGGCAGGCCATTGACGTGAACCCTCACCCAAACACGTTGACCCCTATCACACACAGCATGCAGGGCATGTTGCTGTTATTGCTTGTCTAATCATACTCTTACCCTTTCTAGACTATAGGCAAAAGGCAAAAAGAACCATGCTAATTTTCCTAGCCATTCTCTCTCCAGCCCTTACCACAGTACCTGACACACAGTAGGAATCATTATTTAATAATTAACTTCCAGACACTGGTAAGGGTGAGGAGGAGTGAAAAATGTGAAAGAAAGGGTTGTTTCCCCAAGAGCCTACAACTTTGATGAGGAAGATTAATGGATAAATAACTAGAAGTAATGTAAGTCATTCAAATAAATGCTAGGAAGATTCCAATTATCAGTCCTGGCAGTCTTCAGCACAGGGAAGTTAATTGCTAATTTATGGGATCAAGGAAGGCTTTACTAAGGAGGAGATTTTCAGCTGCATGTGGAAATAATGCAGTCTAAAATATGGGAAATTATTTCTCCAGAGCGCATTCCTCTTTTTCTGACGTCTATTCTTTTTCCCCAAAAATGAAATGTTTACAAAGTCTTCCTAGTATTAATAGTAAGTGTCTGCTTCCTGTGGAAAGTCCTGAATATCGTTTAATGATTTTAAAACAATAATCTCTATGTGATGATAATGGATTCCGATCTGGTTGCTTATGCTGGGAAGAAAAATATCAATCAAATTTTCAGCTCAAATACTATTCCAGGGCTTTTGGGAGTCTGTTTTGGCTTAAGTAGTTTGTTTTTGGCTCATAAGTAATCTCAGATGGTAGCAGCATTTCCAATTAGATCTTAGTACTGCTGACGGTAATTCCTTTAGGGTGTGAACATTTTTTTAAAAATTAGATTCTAGTGTTACTGAATTCTCCAATGACCAAGACAAATTATACAGGCCTCAATGATTGGATTTTCCAACTGAAGAGCTATTAACTCTCAAGAAGGGAGAACATGTAACAAATCCATTTTTGCAATAGGACTACACATTTTTATAAAATATTTTGCAAAATACTACCAAGGTATTTTTCTTTTTAAATTTCAGAATATTACGGGAGTACAAACATTTTGGTTACATATCTTGCCTTTGCATGTCCCAAGCCAGAGCTACAAGCATGCCCATCCCCCAGACAGTGTACACTGCACCCATTAGCTGTGAGTTTACCCACCCGCACCACCCGCCTCCCACATGCTCAGCACCCGGTGATTATTACTTCCATGTGCTCACCTAAGTGTTGGTCAGTTAGCAACAATTTGATGGTGAGTACATGTGGTGCTTATTTTTCCATTCTTGTGATACTTCACTTTGAAGGATGGGCTCCATCTCCACTACCAAGTTTTTTTTGGGACGATCTCACTAATCTTCCTTAGAAACCTGGTTGAAAAGGTGAGAAAGAGACTCATCATATTGTTTTTCCTTAAATAATTTTTTCAGTACAGAAGTAACTTGTTTATCACTCAGCAGATGAGTAGGAAAATATTAACTGTGTCCTATATTGTGTGCTTGTTTTGTGGCTATAAAAGAAGTTTGAAAACCTTTGCTTCTAATAATAGAGTTTTCATTAACCACTCTTAAAATGAGGGCATGGAGTCAGAGTCAAGGAGTTCAAATGAATGTCATGAAAAAGGAAAGAGAAGGTTGGGAAGAGGAAGGTTGCCTGAGGGAAGAATTTCTAGAGGCAATCTCTAAGCCCATATAGATGGCCCACACCATCGAAGAGGCCAGCCTCAGCAGTGCCTATGACCGGGGCATGGAGTGACTAAGAAAAATTTGTAGCACAGCTGATTATTCAAGGCCTCATTGAATGGATTAAACATTGCCAGGCTTTTCCTGCACCTGGAAGAGTTTATGTCCCATTATCTTCAACGAAGCTTGTTAGGGTTGAGGCATTTATTGTCTGTACCTTACAATCCGCTCTCAAGCTCTCATCTACTTGTGGTGTTATTACAACAGATATCTTCTCAAGAAGATTATAGTCTCTCTGGGGGCAAGGACTGAAGCTGACAGATGGTCTCTCCACAGGATTTGGTACAATTCTTTATACAAGTTAAGAAGTCAATAAATATCTTCTGATGGTATTTTACTTAACTTAAATGTAAGGGATGCCCGTTGTGTTTTCTCTCTGGCTCAAGATAATGCCCGTGTTTTGAGGACTGATGCTGTCTCATTTCCCACACACGGGTCACCAGAGGAGGCACTGGAAGCATGCCTTTGTGATTCTCCCTGATATGTCCTGCAGATCCAATAAGACTCTTTCTCTTAGACATATGGAATTTTGACCTAAGAAAAAAGAGATTTGAGCCTGTTGCTCCTGAAAACCCATTAATAGAAGAAAGGAACGTCCACAGGCTCCCTGGTTCCATTTGTGGCACACTCTATGGCTTCCTAACGAGAGGCATGGCTTCCATTCTTACTATCAGACACCACACTTTTCATCTGGTATCAGCTGAAGATTTCTTGATCTCGTGGTAAATGGGCCCAACTTCTAATCTGGGGATAGTCATAAAGCCACAACCCAGTTTTACCTAATGATAATCATAAGCTAATGATTATCAGACACATAGTTCTTTTGTTTAATATTTACATTTTTTTAAAGAGTGGGACTCTGTCATCCAGGCTGGAGTGCTGTGGTATGATCGTAGCTCATTGCAGCCTCCTGAGCTCAAGTGATCCTTCTGCCTTAGCCTCCCCAGTAGCTGAGATTACAAGCATGTGCCACCACACCTGGCCTCAGTTCTATCTAAAGAAACATGATAAGTCTGCTGAGGGTCTTCTAGGAAATACTTATTGCTCCTTGAAAAAAAAAATAAGAGAAAAAATAATGAGAACTTTCTTTCTGCTCTAGCCATCTTCCCTCCCCCTTGTTTCCTACCTTTGAATAAAGTGCCTGGTGTTAAGGCAGCCATGTTGTGGCCATGAGGCCACCAACCACAAGAATAACTGACACACCGAGGCTGGTTAAATGAAAGGATGGAAAGAGTCTAGCTCCTTTATGACATTGCTCAGTGGCAGAACCAGCTGTGGAATATCTGGAATGTTATTTTTCCAGATAATTAAATCTCTATTTCTAAAGCCACTATTAGTCAGATTTTTTTATTATTGGCAGTAAAACATTTCATAAATGATAGACCATATGATCCAGATCTTTTTCCTTAGATTCTTTTAGATTCACTAACATATTCTCTATAAATTCTTTTTCCTCTTTGGATAACTAAATTTCTCTTTTGTGTAGCCAAACATTAACTCCTTCTCCTTGCCCTTCCCCTTCCCTCCTCCTCCTCTTCTTCCTCCTCCTCCTCCTTATTTGAGATGGAGTCTTGCTCCATCATCACCAGTAGAGTACAGTGGCATCATCACTGCTCACAGCAACCTCAACCTCCTGGGCTCAAGCAATCCTTCTGCCTCAGCCTCCCTAGTAGCTGGGACTACAGGTGTGCACCATCGTGCCAGCCTAATTTTTCTATTTTTGGTAGAGTTGTAGTCTCCCTCTTGTTCAGGCTGGTCTCACACTCCTGACCTCAAGCAATCGTCCCACCTTGGTCTCCCAAAGTGCTTGGACTGCAGGCATGAGCCACCGTGACTGGCCATGTTAACTTATATAGCCTTTTCAAAAAATATTTGAGATTTTTTTCTTCATGACACAGGAGGAATTCAAGCAAATATTTATCCAGATACAAAGAGTAAGTGATACTTTGTCTTACTTGAATATTTTCCTCTTCAATTTGACTTAACACTAGATGAAGACAACAATAAGTCATGAACTGCTGTTATACTCTCAGCTCTGCAAAAGAAATGCAAAAAAGAGAGATGAGAGAATTACAGCATAGCTTAACCAAAGGAAGGTTCTCTTGCCAGTAACCAAAGAAATGCAATTCAGAGTTACCATTTAACGTTACCTGAGGTGAAGGTAAAACTTGAATATAAATATGTAGCAAGGAGCATTTCGAATTGGCATATCCCTTTTTTAAAGGGATAAGATAACATTTAGTAAAAACTACAAAGATATTCATGTCCTTTGACCAAGTAATACTACTCCAGAGACTTTTTCCTAAGGAAATATTTTGACAGATGTAAGACAGATGTTTCTATCTGTAATAGAAAACACAATTAAAAGAGAAAAAATGTAAATGTTAAAAAATAAGAGAATAATAGTAAATTGCAGCATATCAACAAGAGGTACTACAATACAACCATTAAATTTAATAATTATGTGAGCAAGTTTACGAATATAGAAAAATTTTGTGATTTTTTAAAAGCACAATATAATAATAGGTAAATTACGATTGCAATTTAGATAAGATCTGGAAGGTATAGGAAAAAATAAAAAGTAGTTTTGGGGTCTACGTGGAATTGAGGGTGACTTTTTTTTCATTTTTGCAATGTGATTCTAATGTGTTTTATTGCTCATACCAAGCATGGTGTTGTGCCAAGGTCATAACCTGTGCATAGAAGAAAAGTCTTCTCTCTCTCCAAATATGTGGAATTAAGAATTTGCTTATTTTATGTTCTTATGCTCAATATAATTTGAGTGATGGAAAATTCTTGAGGAGTAATAGCTGAAAACTGACAGGACCATCATCACAAGGGACACAAATGTTCAAAACAGCTGACCAAAGCCTTAGCAGGACTAATGAGATGCAGTCTAAGTGGCGTTAGTGTGGCCTACATTCTTCCTAATCCATACGTTCTCCCTGTTGTCTACTGGGTGGCTATTTATCTTGTCTTCTTGGAAAGATTTCTGAGCCTACGCTAGGCCCTCTGAACTTGACCCAATGGGTGGACAAACCATATATATTTCCAGGAAAAGATCTAAATACATAAAATTAGTTTCTCCCACTAGCATTAATAGTTCTTTTATCGAAGAGAATTTAATTGGTACAATAGCAATGTCTGGAAAATACTTTCATTTGTACTTTCAGATGAGGAAGTGCTGGAACACAGAAAGGGGTGGGCTGAGACAACCTGGGAGTGAACTTGTAGGTGAAGCAAACACATCGAATTCTACTTTTAGACCCCACCCCCCAAAAAAAACACCCCAGAAAACAAAAAACCAAAAAGGAGGAAACAAACAAAAAATCTCATATTTGTTTGATAAAAATACTAAATAGTTATATACCTTAAATGAATACAATTTAAAAAAAAAAAGGAAAACATTAAATAGCAGTCGTCAGGTTTAATGGTAAGAATGGACCCAGCTTCAGAAGGAACCCTGCCTTGAACAGGGATGAAAACATCCTTGGAAAAAATCTGCATTGTGAGTAAGAAATTTAGTGTCTCAGCCACAAGTGTAAATTGCCTTTGGGGGCTTAGGGGACTGCAGTTTTCCATCTGGAAACATGCATTTCAGGTATAGTGGCTCTCAACTGCATGAATACCACTCCCCTGTAGGCATTTGGGAGCTGTTACTCAATTTAGTGAGCAAGGGCCAGGAATGCTATATTTATACACTGTTGGAGACTGTCCTGAACAATGAGGAAACATCTCCATAAAATTTCAATAGATCCCCTGTTGGAAAACATTATGTAGAAAATCAAAGCTGGGAAGAATCTTGAAATTGTCATTAAAAATGGAAGGAATAGGGGACTGCAGAAGAAAAACCTATTTCTCTGAATGTGAAGTTTTTTTTTTTTTTGAGACAGAGTCTCGCCTTGTTGCCCAGGCTAGACTGAGTGCCATGGCGTCAGCCTCACTCACAGCAACCTCAAACTCCTGGGCTCAAGCAATCCTCCTGCCTCAGCCTCCCGAGTAGCTGGATACAGGCATGTGCCCCATGCCGGCTAATTTTTATATATATATTAGTTGGCCAATTTTCTTTCTATTTTTTTTATAGTAGAGACGGGGTCTCACTCTTGCTCAGGCTGGTTTTGAACTCCTGACCTTGAGCAATCTGCCCACCTCGGCCTCCCAGAGTGCTAGGATTACAGGTGTGAGCCACCTGCCTGGCCTGAATTTTGTTTTGATGGTAATGATTCAACATTCAGAAATGCTTCTGGTATGTCAGGAAGGGCTTTATTGGAGTCTCTTACATAGCAGTTGTCCTGGGTAATCTCAGGAAAACCCAGCTGTTTGAAATTCTCTAGTAGATGCATTCTGAAAGTGGACATTGAGAGATTTATTTCAGAGAGGAGATTTTAAAATTCAGGTCTCCAAATACATCTGCGGAATTGTCTTTGCATTTTTTTTAGGCATCATAATTTCTTACTTTTTTAAAAGGTCAATAATAGCCATAGTATTTTCATACATGGATGAATTGCATAGTGTGACGTTAGGGCTTTTATATACCTGTCATTCAAAGTATATGTTTATTACTGTGACGAAAGGCTATTATTAGCTTATTTCACTTAGGATAATGGTTTCCAGTTCCATCCAAGTTGCTGTGAAAGACATCATTTCATTCTTTCTAATGGTTGAGTAGATATATATCATTACTCCATGGTGTGTGTGTGTATATATAAGTATGTGTGTGTGTGTGTGTGTGTATATGTATATATATAGTTTTTTTATCCACTCATCAGTTGCTGGGCTCTTAGATTGATTCCATATCTTTGTAATCGTAAATTGTGCTGTGCTAAACATATGAGAGTGCATGTGTTTTTGTGATATAATGACTTCTTTTCCTTTGGGTAGATATCTAGTAGTGGCATTGCTGGATTGAATGGTAGTCTACCTTTAGTTCTTTGAGGAATCTCCATATTGTTTTCCATAGAGTTGTACAAATTTACATTCTCACCAAATAAGTATTCCTTTTCACCATATCCATGCCAACTATATTGTTTTTGACTTTTAATTAATGGCCATTCTGACAGGGTAAGTTGATATCTCATTGTGGTTTTGATTTACATTTCTCTGATGATTGGTGGATGTTGAGCTTTTTTTTTATCAGATATTATGGGGTACAAATTTTAAGGTTTCAAATAATGCCCTTTCCCCCTCTCCCCCACAAGTCTGAGTTTCCAGCGTGACCATCCCCAAGACGGTGCACATCTCACTCATTATGTATGTATATACCTGCCCTCCCCCTCCACTTGCCCAATACCCAATTACTGTAGTTCCTGTGTGTCCACTTGCGTGCTGCTCAGTTAATACCAGTTTGCTGGTGAGTATATGTGGTGCTTGTTTTTCCATTCTTGGGATACTTCACTTAGTAGTATGGGTTCCAGCTCTAAGCAGGAAAATATAAGCTGTGCTATATCACCATTGTTTCTTAGAGCTGAATAGTATTCCATGGTATGTATACATATACCACATTTTATTAATCCACTCTTGGATTGATGGGTGCTTGGGTTGTTTCCACAGCCTTGCAATTATGAATTGTGCTGCTATAAACATTCAAATGCAGGTGTCTTTTTTGTAGAGTGACATTGGATCTTTTGGGTAAATGCTCAGTAATGGGATTGCTGGATCAAATGGTAGATCCACTTGTATCGCTTTAAGATATCTCCATATTGCTTTCCACAGAGGTTGAACTAGTTTGCAGTCCTACCAGCAGTGTAGGAGTGTTCCTCCTCTCCGCATCCATGCCAGCATTATTGTTTGGGGACTTTTTGATAAAGGCCATTCTTCTGGAGTTAAGTGATCTCTCATTGTGGTTTTGATTTGCATTTCCCTGATGATTAGAGATGTTGAGCATTTTTCATATGTTTGTTGGCCATTCTTCTTGTCTTCTTTAGAAAAGTTTCTGTTCATGTCCTTTGCCCACTTTTTGATAGGGTTGTTTGATTTTGTCTTGCTGTTTTTCGTGAGTTCTAAGTATATTCTAGTTATCAGTCCCTTATCAGATGTGTAGGATGCGAAAAGTTTCTCCCATTCTGTAGGTTGTCTGTTTACTTTCATGACTGTTTCTTTGGCTGTGCAGAAGCTTTGTAGTTTGATCATGTTCCATTTATTTATTTTTGTTGCTGCTGTGATGTTCTTTGGGTCTTCTTCATAAATCTTATGCTTGGCCGATGTCTAGGAGAGTGTTTCCAACATTTTCCTCTAGAATTCTAATAGTTTCATACCTTAGGTTTAAGTCTGTTATCCAGTGTGAGTTGATTTTTGTGAGAGGTGAAAGGTGTGGGTCCTGTTTTAGCTTTCTACAAGTGGCTATCCAGTTTTCCCAGCACCATTTATTGAAATGGGATTCTTTTCCCCAGTGTATATTTTTGTCTGCTTTGTCAAAGATTAGATGACTATATGAGGATGGTTTTATATCAGGATTCTCAGATCTGTTCCACTGGTCAATATTCCTATTTTTGTGCCAATACCATATTGATTTAATTACTACAGATTTGTAGTATAGTTTGATATCTGACATATTAATACCTTCCATTTTGCTTTTGTTGCCTAGAATTGCTTTTGATATGCAGGGTCTTCTTTGGTTTATATATTTATTTGGTTATTTATACATCTTCTTTTGAAAAATGCCTGTTCATGTCTTTTGCCCACTTTTTAATGGGATTGTTATTTTTCTTGCTGATTTGCTTGAATTCCTTATAGGTACTGGATATTAGTCCTTTGTTAGATGTATAGTTTGCAAATATTTTCTCCCATTCTTCAGTCTGTTTGCTGTGTTGGTTTTTTCTTTTGCTGTGTGGAAACTTTTTACCTTAATTATGTTCCATTTATTTATTTTTGTTTTTATTGTATTTGCTTTTGGGATCTTAGTCATAAATTCTTTGCCTAGGCCAGTGTCTGGAAGAGTTTTCCATATTTTTTTTCTAGAATTTTTATGGTGTTGGGTCTTACATTTAAGTCTTTAATCCATCTTGAATCAATTTTTGTGTATGGTGAGAGAGAGAGATCCAGTTTCATTCTTCTGCATGTGGCTATCCATTTCTCAGCACCATGTATAGAATAGTGTTCTTTCCCCAGTGTATGTTTTTGTCTACTTTGTCAAAAATCAGTTGGTTATAGGTGTATCATTTTATTTCTGGGTTTTCTATTCTGTTCCATTCATCTATGTACCTATTTTTATACCAGTACCATGCTGTTTTGATTGCCATAGCCTTGTAGTATTATTTGAAATTGGGTAATGTGATGCCTCCAGATTTGCTTTTTGTGCTTAGGAATGCTTGGCTATTTGGGCTCTCTTTTTGATTTTATATGAA